CCCCTTCCAGCTGACCCCTTCCTCCTCCTCCTCCTCCTCCTCCTCCTCCTTTCCTCTTCCTTCTCCTCCTTGGCGCCCCCAGCCCACTCCCCCAAAATTCCTGGACACCCCCCCCCCTTTCTAGCCGACCCCTTCCTCCTTCCACCGCCTGCCTTCCTCTTCCTCCTCGGTGCCCGCTAGCCCAGCTCACCGTCCGCAGAAACTGCACATCGTCCTCCCCCTCGCCGCCTCCTTCGGCCATGGCTGGGCGGGCTGGGCTGGGCGGCGGGATCGGCGGCCCTGGGCTGGCGGTGGCGGCGGCGGCGGCGGTGGGAGCCGGCCGGGGCGGTGCGGAGGCAGCAGCCGGGAAGCTCCTGCGGAGACACTAACCGGACGGCCGGGCTCCGGCAGCAGCCCCAGCCGGCCAGCCGTCCCCGCCCCCCGGCCCGCCCCTTCTGAGGAGGGGAGGAAGGCGAGAGGACGGGGGCTGCCTCCGCCGCCCGGTGGAGCCTCCCGGGGCAGGAGCAGTCGATCGTGGCTCGGCAGGTGCCCCGGAGCTGCTCAGTCTCATTTGTTCCACCTGTCGGCTGTGCCGTCCTCCTTCCTTGATTCTGCCCCCCCCCCCAAAAAAAAAGTTGGGGTCTTTTGGGGTCTCCCCTCTCCTCTCTTTGCAGCCCCTGATTTAACTGACATTGGTTGTTAGTCACAGAGTGGGGGGCGGGGGGAAACCTGCTCCAAACCAGGGTTATATATCTTCCCCAGGGCTGGGCTACAAGGTAGTCCTCCACTTTACGACAGCTCGTTTAGTGACCACGGCACGGGGGGGGGGGGGGGAACTGAGGACCATGTTTCACACTTAACGGCCGTTGCCACGTCAGATGCCGGACAACCGACTCACGCTTAGGGCCGTCCCCAAGGTCATGCGATGGCCACCACGAGTCAACCGGGAAGCCCAATTTGCTTAACGACCGGGTGACTTAATTGAACGATGGCAGCGGTTCACTTAACGGAGTGCGGCAAGGAAATGCGTGAAGAAGTGTGGGGGGGGGGCAGCATCCATTGAAACGCATTTCTCACTTAACGGCATATAGTTGGGGCGCAATCGTGGTCGTAAGTTAACAGATTTAAATTAATCATGTTAACAGATAATCAGAGTTGGAAGGGACCTTGTAGGTCATCTAGTCCAACCCCCCGCCCAAGCGGGAGTCCTGTATTGAGGACAACCTGTATTAATGCTGCCGCTCCACCCTTTGCAAGCATCCATTTGAATGGTGATCATGATGTTACCCTGGATATGTTGCGACAATAAGCCCGAGGATTGGTCATAAGTCGAGTTTTTGCACCGTTATGGTGACTTTGTACAGCCCTGAGGCCGGTTCACACAACATGTTAAGCCATAATGTATTTTCTTTGATTCAGGCTTAGCTATGATGAACCTGGCTTGTCCCATTTATTCATGGCTTAATTAACCCACCATGGTTAAAACAAACCTTAGCTTGTCGGATGCATCGGCCCCAATATGATTCTCCACCTCTCGTTTATCTTGCAGTTAAACTTCATGGATCTTCTCCTGACCTCTTTCAAGGGATGGGAAATAGAATAATAGAAAAACAGAGTTGGAAAGGACCTTTGGAGGTCTTCTAGTCCAACCCCCTGCTTAGGCAGGAAACCCATTTCAGACAAATGGCTGTCCAATTTCTTCTTTAAAAACTTCCAGTGTTGGAGAATTCACAACTTTTGGAGTTAAGTTGTTCCACTGATTAATTGTTCTCACTGTCAGAAAGTTTCTCCTTATTTCCAGGTTAAATCTCTCCTTGATCAGTTTCCATCCATTATTCCTTGTCTGGACTTCGGGTGCTTTGGAAAATAGCTTGACCCCTTTCCTCCTCTCTGGGGCAACCCCTCAAATATTGGAAGATGCTCTCCTGTCTCCCCTGGTCCTTCTCTTCCCTAGACCAGCCAAGTGCAGTTCCTGCAACCATTCATCGTATGTTTTATCCTCCAGTCCCCTCATCATCCTGGTTGCTCTTCTCTGCACTTTTTCTAGAGTCTCAACGTCTTTTTTATAGTGTGGGGACCAAAACTGGATGCAGTACTCTAGGTGTGGCCTTACTAAGGCTTCATAGAGTGGTATTAGGACCTCACTTGATCTCGATTGTATCCCTCTGTTAATACAACTTAGGATTGCATTGGCTTTTTTGGCTGCTGCTGCACACGGCTGGCTCCTATTTAGCTGGTTGTCCACTAAGACTCCAAGATCCCTCTCCCAGTTCCTGCTATTGAGAAATCTGGTTTCACCCAGTCTAACATGCAGATGAACAAGCAGGAGCTTTCATCGGCTTGCAAAAACTGCTGGCTTGGAGTACAAGGTGTGAGTTGCAAAGGTGCTGCCAGAAAATCCCTGATTTTTTTTTATTTTTATTTTTATTTTTGGGAAAAGGCTGGAGAAGCTGAAGGTGAAAGCCCGGAGGCGGGGGAGGGGGAGAGAGAGAGAGAGAGGTCACTCTGGATTTGCAAGAAGGGGGAAGCCGACAGACATTCAGTCAAAGCTGAGTTGGCACAAAGGAACCGAGAAAGGATTGTGTGTAGACGTTGCATCGTTGTGCAGGAAATAAAAAAAATCAAATGCATGGCAGGAGTTTGATTTACAAGGCTGTGTTTGAGGGAAAAGACTGTCCTGGTAATCTATGACCTTAGGATGGCCCATTTAGTGACTGTTCAAAGTTACAACGGCCCTGAAAAAAAAGTGTCTTGTGATGCTTGACAACTGCTTCATATTTATGACGGTTACACAGCGTCCCAGTTGTGGTCATAAGCCGAGGACTACCTGTAACAATTAACAGAGTAAAGACACACCCTGAAAAGAGAAACTGCTTTAAGGACTGAAAATGAAAGAGATGCGTTCTCTACAGTAACGTTTCTCAACCTTGGGCATTTTAAGTGGTGTGGACTTCAACTCCCAGAATTCCCCAGCCAGCTGGTTGGGGAATTCTGGAAGTTGAAGTCCAGCTATCTTAAAATGATCAAGGTCGAGAAACAACAGTCACTAACTTACAACTATTCATTTTAATGACCATCCAAAGTTACAAAACAGGTGACTTAACAACCAGTCCTCGTGCTAACGACCATCATAGCCATTCCCACTGTCCCATGATCAACATTCTGGCTGGGGAATTCTGGGAGTTGAAGTCCACACCACTTCAACTGGCCAAGGTTGAAGCCCACTGGCTTAGAGCCTGGAGCGTACGGATATAAAAATATTCCTGTGGCCTCGCCGGATAGTATATTGGGAATCTGCCCGGTTTAATGCCTCTTGACCGATCTGTAGGATTTGTGGCTGAAAGTCAGTTAAAAGGTGAATTTCTGCTCAACGCAAGTTGGCTCTTTTTGTGTATGTGTGTGTGTAAGAAACCAGGTGCTAAAAATAAAATAAAATAAAATAAATGAAATTTTCCTTTTGGGAAAATTCACAAAGCCAAGCTATTAAAGCAGCAGGAACCTTTCCATGGCCTTCAAAGTGGCTGTTGATTGCAGGGATAAACGCTTCCTTTTGTAAACTATAAAAAGGAAACCTCGCTTTAACCAAAGTCCCCTATTTTGGTTCAAGCCGTCACAAGCGGTTTTGCGGGCCGCTTTCCTGCCAATGTCAATTGGCTAAGAAAAATAACATTAAATCTGGGCTATTGTAAAAACACTTTGCCGGCTAAAAAGGAGTAAAGGGCTTGTGTGGGCGCAGAGTTTCTACAGTTTTGCAACTGATAGGTAGAGATCAGAGGTGGTCTTCAGCCGGTTCGGACCAGTTCTGGAGAACCAGTAGTGGAAATTTTGAGTCGTTCAGAGAACCGGCAAAGACCCCCTCTGACTGGCCCCGCCCCCATCTATGCTCCGCCTCCCATCGAGTCCCAGCTGATCGGCTGGGTCTCCTTTGGTTGCCCTGCACAGGAGAACGGAGCTGGAAAGCAGGTTGGTGGGCTGGGGAGGGAAGGGGGATTTTGCAGTATCCTTCCCCTGCCACTCCCACCAAGCCACGCCCACCAAGCCACGCCCACAGAACTGATAGTAAAAAAATTTGACTCCCACTACTGGTAGAGATCCTATCACACCAGAGAAAGAGAGGTGGAGCGATTCCCAAAATAATTTCTTATCATCGGATAATTCTCGCAAAGTTCTCCAAAGCAATAACAGAATGTGGAAAATTTCAAAGGAAAACCAGACAACAATCCATCCTCATTTTTCCCCTAAATATTTTGGCTGGTAAGGAAACATTGAAACCAGCAGTGTCGAATGTTCGCCATTTTAAAACCTGTGGACTTCAACTCCCAGAATCCTGGGCAAAATTTAATCAAGGGCGCCCTACCTTGGCTCCCTTTTAGACCTGTGGACTTCTACTCCCAGAATTCATGGCTGGGGAATTCTGGGAGTTGAAGTCCACAAGTCTTAAAGGGGCCAAGGTTGGCCACTCCTGATTAAATGTTTCTCACTTGAATCAGGAGTGCTAATTAAATAGAAACTTCTGTTTGAAGAAAAAAAACAAAAAAACCAAACATTATCTCATGGAGAGAGAAAAAAGACTGAAAGTAAGAATCACGGGGTCAATGCCTCCCAGCTTTTTATAGACTCGGGATATTAAATTAATTCCCTTGGAGCACTTTATATAGCACAATCCTGTCCATTTTTTTTACACTCCGGCTTCTAAATTCACCGTATGCCAACAGGCTTGACTTTGTTGGACTCATTTGACGAGGAAGCAGGTCCTTTGAAAATTCCCCAGGATTCAATAGGAAGAGGGGGAAAAAAAGCATTTAAAAGGACTCGATTAATTAGCGCAAAGAAGACACCGCCTTTTTTTATCACACGAAAGAAGGACGGAGGCTGCAAATTTAGCAAGGTCTAACAAGTCAATGCTGCATGTCTGCAGAGACCTAAGATTCAGCAGAACATATTTTATGCAATGTTTCTCATCTTGGAAATATTCCTTATTCTATTATTCGTACCGTTATCCTGAAAAATATGACCTCCCCTGAAAGTAAGTCCTAGCATGATTTTAACACGTGAGCCCAATATAAGCCCCTCAAAAGAAGCCCTAATTAAGATCCTGCCCACTCCAGAGTAGATGGGTAAAAATTAAGCTAGGGTTGGATGGGAGTGGTGGTGGAGCTGCCCTACTATTTACCTTTGGACAGTTGTAGCCAGGCCTTGCACACCTGCCTTGCCGGGCCATGTCTTCTGCAGTTAGCCAGGCTGGCAAGGCTTTCCTGAAGGCCTCTGTAGCTGATA